CAGGGCCACAGGCTCAGCTCCGTTCCCTTTAGCCCGTGTGTGTATGCGTGCATGCGCATACACGTGTATTCCTTTGGCCCTTAAAATGTGTGAAATAGATGATGTGGCCATCATGCTGAAAAGTTTGGAGACCCCCTTCTGTAGACCATCCTAACTGCTGACATATGTGTTGTTAACATTCGGGCTGCCCTTTGCTATGCAAAGCTTGGCATCCTTTTTCCTGTGGGCAATGCAGGCACAATATTGTGCAGTAATATCAGGCCATTTCCTGATGTTTTAAATAATGGATACAGAAGCAAAATATCCCACATTCATAAACCAGAAGGTTTTTCTGAAGAATTGAATCTGCTTGTGTTGCAATGCAAGGCCTAAAGGTAGCTGATAAAAGAGTTGACCTCATATTTAGCTGTTTGTGCATCAGTCCTTGAAGAATTTCAGATCAAGTCGGAAGAATAATTTTGATCATTCAAAGTAAGTCAACATCAAAGGAGATTGCTGCCACTAGCCTCATATTTCCCACACTTTGTCTATTTCAGTGACAACATTTCAGAATAGAAGGTTGCATTTAATTTCAGCCCTGAGCTAGCTGCAGAAGCACCCTAACGGTGAAATACCAGCATCTTCTCCATCCAGGGGAGAATCTGTTGTCCAAGAAGGGAATGCACTAATGTGGTGTGAATTTTCAGAAGGGATGGTTACCTGCAAAGTCTCCTTTTTCTTCCCTCTTAGATCCTGATTGGCTAGGACCAAAACTCCACATGTTAGTTGCAAAGACATATTTTCCTTTTTCTTTTTAGAATTTTTTTAAAAAATAACATATAATATAAACACAAGGACCAAAACTCCACATGCCTCCTTTTATTTCCAGGTACATCTGATGCATCCTTGGAAATTTCTATGACATGTTTGCTCTTCAGAGGTTCTGCTCACTGTAAATATCATGTCTATACTTCTTCAACGCCAGTGTATCTTGTGTTAACCAGGATTATAAGACTGTAACCGGTGAATTGCTCTGTCTGTCAGATGGCAGGTGCATGGTAATCTAAATGTAAAATGACAAGGACTTCCTGGGGTATGTGTGAAGATGTGGTCAAACAGAGGATTATTTTTGGACCAATATGAATAATTTTGAATAATCAATCACATGTAAATACTGGCTCACCAAACTGTATACACTGACTGAAACATGGGTGCATATACATACAGTATGTGTGTTTAAATCAATGAGATTATTCCAGTAATATTTCCAGGGCCAATTTCCAAGTAAATAACTGGTCATGCAGCAGCCTGCTCGTATAATGAGAGCCAGAGACTCCTGTGACATCCCTGTTTATTTTCTGTGAAACAGAAAGAAAACAGAAAACAGAAGGTGTGATTTTTATTCTCTTGGAAGGGAACTGTGAGCTTACAGCTTCAATAGTTGCACCACTCATGGAAGCAGACACCTTTCACAATCAGTTATTTTAATGTGTTTCTTAGACAACCGAAAAATTATTCTGCAAGGCAGGAAAAGAAAGTGAGAGAGAGAGAAGTCCCGAATCATGGCTGAAATACACAGGCTTTATTTTACCTGGTACTGTAGATGAAGCATCCATGCTGCCAGGATGTCATTGAACTGCTTGGGTGGTTCAGCAGGCTCTCTATGTGTTTTCGATGCCTTCACCTTTTATTTACTCCACTTCATTAACCTGAGGAAACCCTCGGCTGACTACATGTGTTTTGGCTTTCTTGAGCTATCACGTTGGTAGCGTGATGCCATGTCCATGGGACCACTGTTATATATTCCAGGAGTAGCTACCATACAAGTTTCCCAGTAACCTTTGGGGAGGAGGCCAGGGCACAGCCAGTTAAGCAAGGCCATTGGTCATTTAATCAAGGCTCTTTTAAAGATTAACCTTTTGTTTTGCATTGGGAGATGGTGTTGTGGGGTTTCACTTACTGAGGTGAACATGCCCAGACAAATCTGCGAATTAAATCTGCTTACATGAAGGGAAGGCTGCACCTCTAATTAGGATCTGTGTCTGTAATTCTTTCGTTTTTCTTTGGTGACTGATAGGCCAAGTAAAGACTTGTATTATATGTTTTATGATTCATTCAGGCACATTATGTTTTCAGCTAAGCCAGAAAGAGATGTGTAGAGTTCTGCCTGGGGCTGACACAAAAATCATTGTCAGAAATGATCTCTGAGATCACCTAGTTTAATCCTTGGCATTAAAGGCAGGATTTTCCCCACCAGGGATAGACAACCTGGTGTTGTCAAGATTTGCCTAGACCTTTTTCATCAGCCCTCGCCAGTATAGCCTGTGGTGAAGAATTCTGAAGAAACAAAATAGAGGGCATGATAAGGCTTACTCTTATTATGGACCAAAACCTCAATTGTACCAGGTGTGACTAGAACAAATTGAATCACAATAATCGTTGATAATCGCTGATTCATCAAAAATTTATTGCTTTGTACAGTATTTGTTCAATATGGCGAGCCTGACAAATATGAAGTGACAAATTTTTACCCATTTTTAATTTGTCACTTTTTCTATCCTCTTTCGGGCCTCCTTTGCCATTTGCAGCCTGCTTCTGCCAATCAGAAGCTCTGGGCAACCCTGGAAGGGACCTAGAGACCCTGGATGGGCATCGTAAGTAGCCAATAATGCTGCTGAAAGAGCTGTGGGGACGTTCCTTGTTAATAGGCTTTATAAAGCATTTTCCTTGTAGCTGTTTCCCACTTCTGCTCCGGATCTTGGCTCAGGCAATTGGTGCTCTGCTGTTGTGCTTTGTTTCATTGTTGCGGTAGCAAAACAACTTCACACCTTTATTCCCTTATTTCTTGCTCAGTTGGATTTTGGGAGGGCTTTCTTTCTGGATGCATTTTAGTTCAGTAGATTAGAGAATAGTTATTTTCTGAGGTTTAGGGTTAGGGTAGTTTGGGTGATCTCTGGATGTTTGTGTGTATATTTTACCCTTCCTCCCCTCTTAAATTCCAGAGTGTTTGTGTATGGGGGTGGGTGGGTACTGGCTGATTGCTTCCTCGCTGGTGCCTGTGTGCTCTAGCCAGCCCAGTAACTAAGGTATGCTCAAGTCAAAGCACATATTCTGTTTTAAATACATTACAGTAGTACATCGGTTTGCAAACACCTCAGTTTACATATTTTTTGATTTACGAATCGAAACCCTTAAGAAAAAGCCCCAGTTTACATTGTTTTATTTTCTTTCTTTTTTTTCACACTACGAAAGGGTTTTCCCAGGGCGCGTTATGCTTATTGCACTGCCCCTTTCATAGCGCAATTGGTGTTTCGGTTCGCGGAATTTCCGTACTACGTAACGTTGCATAGAATGGATCCATTTTGCAAACCAAGGTACTACTGTACAGTATTTCTTTATTATTTTCACTTGTGAAACACTGGGGAGGGCTTTTTTTTTGGTCAGGTGCATTTTAGTTGAAGAATTAGTTGTCTTTTGAGGTGTGCATTTAGGCATAGTGGATGATCTTTTTTTGTGTGTGTGTGTATGTGTGTGTGTGTGTGTGTGTGTATTTTGCCCTTCCCTCCCTTAAATTCCAGCGTGTTTCTGTCTGTCTGTGTGTGGTGGGGACTGGCTATTTAGTTACTGTATTTAGGGGTATTCGTTTTCCTGCTCCTTCCTCCCACCTCTGTTACTCTTAGTTTTAAGAATTAAAAAGAAAAAATCTTCAATTCCTCTCCCATTTCATGTTTCTCCTTTAAAAAAATAAAATTTTATTATTACGCCCTTCCTATATGATTCCACTTAGTTTTTTTCCTTCCCCTCTTCTTTATTTGAAGTGTGGTTTAGAAGGCAGCAGGGTACAAGAGAAGGTGGAAATGAAGGGTAGTGAGGTCTCTAAGGGGGAAAAACCCTAACTAGACCAGTCATCACCACCCTTGCTCCTCTAGTGGCCTCGCAGGTGAGTGTGGAAGCAGGGTTTCCTCTGGTGCCCAAAGAACTGCTGCTCTTCTTCCTGGAGGAATCTGTGGAATTACTGGTTCCAGAGGATCCAGAAACCTCCCAGTCCTCTGAACCAGTAGCAGCAGGGCAGGTTTCCCCAACATCACCACCCCACGCTTGCGTCCTCCATCCTCCCAGACCAGCACCTATAGCACACAGTCTTCTCAGGCCAGCAGCAGACAGGGTCAGGCAGAGTGTTCCTGTGGGATAATTTCACTGCGGTGAACGATGACCCACAACTGGTGTGCTGCAATGCCTGCCTTGTGGTGGTCCAGAGGGGATCAGACCCCAGGTATCTGTCATCTGCTACCCTCTGCTAACATCTGGAGAGGGACCACCTGAGGCTCCTGTCTGAGGAAGGCTGTTTGTTACCACCATCTGGGAGGAGGAAGAGAGCAGCACCAGGGGGAGAAGTGGGGAGTCAGAAGGAGGCATCTCCTTCCAAAAGGGCAGCTATGGGGGTTGCTGGGTCTCAGAGCATGAGGCAGGCTACACTCCGTGAAGTTGTGCCCATTGGGTCTGCACTGCCCTCAGCCAGCAGCCTAAGGGCAAGGCACATGAGGTGGCCACTCATCTTGTTGCTGAGAGAATTTCCCTGCTCAGGCATCCACTGTCCACTTTGGAAGCCTTGTCTTTCCACTGGTTGCTGCATTTTTTCACCCCCTGGTATGAAACAACCCCCTCAATGGAAAGCCATCAGTCCTACAGTCCTTGCACTATGATTTCATGGAGGAGGTGGTCCATGACCAGTTTTCAGAGGGACAGGGGTGGAAGGTGCACTTCACAGCAGACCTATGTAGTGGAGGTCACCAGAGGTATCTCTTACTCACGGCCCACTGATGGCAGCTGGAGGACCTGAGGAGTGGCAGGGATTCAGCAACAGGACTGCAAGGGGAGGCCCTTGTCCTGTCACCAGGCTACAGGTCAGTTCTGCTCCAAGTGTGGCATTAGAGGCTTTGGTGATAGGGAGGAACATTGCTGATGAATTTCTGGATGCACTGCAGCAATGGGCGCTAGAGTATGAGGTCATCTGTGGCCCCATGGTCATGGATGCTGAGCGCAACATGTTGGCGGTATTGAATGCAGCGGGCTTCAAGGGCACAGAGTGCATGACGCACAAGTTACACCTTGTTGTGCATGATACCATTGGCCTGGAGAGCCACATCAAGCCCAAGTGGGACTCCAGCACCTGAGAGAAGCATGTACTCCTGAAGCAATGCCACCAACTGGTGGGCCATTTCTCATGCAGCCTGAAAGCTGTCCATAGTGCGGGGTACCTAGTGGAACCCCCCCAGCCCCCGCATCAGATCCCCTCCAGTTCTGGACCCAGAAAATGGTCAATGGACATACAGCTGTTCACTGTAGTCATGGACCTCCTTTCCATTCCCCCCCCCAAACAACCAATGTCCAGAATAAGCATGTCTTCTCCCATCTCAGAGATGTGTTCTGAGCCCACATATAGCTTTTGGATCCTACAACTGTGGAGAAACTGTCCTTTGTCAAGGTGAGCCTTCCCTTGTTGGCCTTCCTCACATTGAACCGAAAAAGGTAGGGTTCCAATGACAGTCTCTTTGCCACCACACCACCTACCTGCCTGTCCACCTGTCCACCTGTCTGCCTGCCTGCTTGCCTGAGTGGAGCAAGTTCACCACACCATCTCTCTGCCTCTTTCTGTCCCACTCCCAAGTTCACCACACCACTCAGGGCAGAAACGGAACTCAATGCCACTTATGGAAGAAAGACGCTTGCCTTCCTCAATGTCTCACCCCTCCAATCCAGCGGAACCACACTAGTTCTTTGGCTGCCCGATTCCCACTCTCTCCCACATCTTTGTTCCATCTGGCTGATTTCTGCCACTGTGTCATCAAGGAAAGGATGAAGCCGCCCTGCTAACTTAAGGGGAAGAAGAAGAAACCTGCCCACCAGCCAGTCATCAGCCCATCAAACACCCCCAAGGCCACATCTGTTCCAAATTGTGCCTGGTGGCAAATGAAAGTACCGTATTTTTCAGTTTATGAGATGCCCCAATGTATAAGACGACCTCCACTTTTCTAACTCCAAATTAGAAAATTTGGATCGCTGCTTTCCCTGCCACTTCCTAAACCCGGGGCTTAGCAAAAGGAGGGGGAAAGCAGGGATCAAAGGGCTGCAGGATCACCTTGCTCACTGCTTCCTCTGCCACTTCCTAAGCCCCACAGGGCTTAGCAAAAGGAGGGGGAAAGCAGCAATGCTGCAGCCCTTTGCTCGCTACCGTCCCCCTCCTTTTGCTAAACCCCACGGGGCTTAGGAAGTGGCAGAGGAAGCGGTGAGCAAAGTGATCCTGCAGCCCTTTGGTTGTTGCTTTCCCCCTCCTTTCGCTAAGCTCAGTGGGGCTTAGCAAGTGGAGGGGGAAAGCAGTGATCAAAGTGCGGCAAGATCACTTTGATCCATTCCCCCCTCCACTTGCTTTTGTTCTCTCCTCAGCTTACTTCCATGTATCAGATGACCCTGATGTTTTAGTCTAAAGATTTTAGAGAAAAGTAATATATATGGGGAAATATGGTATATATATTCCAAATACCCGTGTGCCTGTGGGCCATCAAACTTGGAGGGCTTGTAGAGGAGAGTCAGGGGAAGCTTCCCTGCACATATTGTGTCTCTTAGGTACTGTATATGGGATTTTATAGCATTTTAAAGTAAAGATGAATTGATTCATTGATTTGTCAGAAAAAACCAAGTTTTTCCTTCTGTTTTTTGTCTGTTTGTTTTGGTTTGGTTTTTGATAATACGATTGAGTATTACACCCTTCCTTCATATGACAGTGTATACTGGGCTATTTAGTTGGGCTGTTGTATTAAATTAGTTGTTCCCAACCTTGGGTCACCAGATGTCCTTGGACTACTGCTTCCAGAAATCCTGGCCAGCACAGCTAGTGGTGAAGGTTTCTGGAAGCTTTAGTCCAAGAACATTTGGGGACCCAAGGCTGGGAACCACTGTGTTAAATCCTGACAAGAAGTTAAATTAGGCTGAAAGCTAGTGATTTTCATAAGAAAACTTTGCCTCTGAACAGGATCCTTTCACCCTTCCTATTCCAGCTTTTTGTCTGAGGAACTATGGCCCATTAAAAAAAGTATTTCCTACTGATCCTAGGAGTTTGGGGTAGAATGTGTAAGAGGAAAATGAGGGGTGTTGGTAGAAATGAAGATAACATGTTTTAATAGCATCCTGAATGTAGAATCATTGTCCGTGTCTTTCATCCAACGTACCCTCTAGTTTTAAGCCCCACTGGGCGGAGCTCCACCTCTCTTGCACAACTTCACCTTTGTGTGCGCATGCGACTCCACCCCCTCCTGTGCACAGGGTTCCATCGTGACCGGAACCCTTTGGGTTGACCGCGATTGCCGCATGGAGAAGGAAGAAAGCTGCACAGAGGGAGGCGGAGTCATGCGTACATGTGCATGCATATTAGAGAAAACCTGGCTCAGGAGGGCAGTCAAAATCCTCTGTTTGGCTTATAATGGTTTTTAAGATGGGCTGCTTGCTGAGTTTCCAGGCTGTTTTACTGAAGAGCTGGTTTCTTGTAATAGTCTTCCTTTTGGGAAAGAGGAACACTATCTTAGGGCTCTGTTTGGAAGAGGTTTCTTTAGTGTGTAGTTGGAGATATAGTGAACACTTGGAAAGGGATAGAGATCAACTCAGAAGACATGGGATGGCTGCAATAGTGAGGTATCAGGATTTATCTGTCAATTTCCAACTGCATTTTTGTGTCCAACTGCTTGCTCAGACAGACACACACACACTCACACACACACATTGAAGGACTAATACTTCAAATTAATAATTAATGCAGGGTCTAGCGGTTATGCCATAGGGGACAAGTGCCTGCCGGTTCTCCCATGTAAGGGCTTGTAGAATGTTTTTAATGCCTCCTTTTACACAAACACGCACACTCTTTTTGCCTTTTTAACCCATGCATGAACATGTACACACACATCACAACCCCATTCAGAGCTTGTATCAGTTTCTATCGCTAGTGGACTTATTCCTTTCCAATACACTTCCCAGTTACATTTTAACCTGTGCCTGATGCATGTACCACAATTTTTGGGTAACATGCTTTTTATCATCCCAATCCTTGTTGTTTTGGGGGACACCACAGTGCTGACATATATAAAACAAATAGATTTAGGGGCAAGAGCTTTGGTAAAACCAGTCTCAAATTGACCAAGCACGAGCTTGGTCAATTTGAACCATGAAATGTCCTGAGCATATATAATGTTTTGTGGTACTATAGAATAATTGACAAATTAACAAAGTGAGACTTGACAGAAGAATCACGAATAGAGCAGGTCATTACTTTTTAAATGCTAGCATCCATCTTTCTGTATGCATTTTCCAGTTTCCCAGCCTAGTTTGGATTATTATTTCAAGGGATTATTGCATGTCTTGAATTTCACTTGATAGTTAACAGGATAGGGCTTTTCTGCTTCATTATTTGTCAGTGGACATCAACACTGCAAGCATATGCCACACTAGTTCATCGTCCCTCTCAAATAGGGGGAAACGTAAGAGTTGTGTAGGTGTTCCTGCACCAGACAGAATTGCACAATTTACTCTTTTCTTCAGGTCCCAACAGTTCCGTACATCTTTGGGACCTGAAGAAGATAGTAAATTGTGCAATACTGCCTGATGCAGGAATAATGTAGCATCAGGTTCAGGATGGTTCCTGGAATGTCTACAGGGTTGGGTGAGAAGATGAGTCACAAAAGATTATTTCAAAAGCGATGTTTAATGCATGAAGTAGATGCCATTTTGGACTGTGCCAGTATTTGCACCCAATTTTTTCCTCTTCCCCCCCGCCACATCTGTAATGTGCTCTAATCTCTTTGGTCCATTGATATTACTACTTTAAGTAATCTTACTGAAATAGGGACTTTTTATTCATCTTAAGTACACTCCACACAAACCATAATCACTCTCCAGAAAGTGATTATAATTAGACTTGGGGACGAATAAAAAAAGGATTGCAATATTCATCTAAAATTGCTGATTTGTTAAATATTCATCCCTTCATATTTGTAGGTTCCAGAGACCCTCATGAATACGAAGGGATGAATATATCCCCATTTTTATTTGTCCCCCATACGAAGAAAAAAAAGCGATCCTATGGCTTTTCCATTCTGCCTACTGACCCACCAATTAGCTGGTTGGTGGGCCAATAGGCAGCCACCCATCCCCACAGCCTACCCCCACCCTCTTCCTCTCCCTACCTTAGCCCCCCCTCCCGCTGGTCCCCGCCGACACCCCCTTAACTATAATCATCACTGCTGCTGCTGAGGTCTCCATCAGGCCTCTGCAGCCACAGACTGTAAAAAAAGGAAACTGTTTTCCCTTTGCAAAGATGGTGGCTGCAGCTTCATTTAGGGTTGGGAAGCTGCAGCTGTCATCTTTGCAAAGGGCAGACAGTTTCCCTTTCTACAGGCCATGGCTGTGGACGCCTGGTGGAGACCTTGGCAGTTCTGGCAATGATTATGGTTAAAGGGGTGGGGTGCAGGGAGTGGGGGTGGCAGCGGAGGGTGGTGGTGGTGGCAGGGGGCATGAGTGTGGGTTTTTTTAGTAACCCCTCCATGAATCAACGAATAAATTCTTTATTCATCGGTTCATGGGGGCAACTTTGTGCTTTGTGAGTCGTCAACTTTTGATGACTCACGAAGCAGGACGACTCACCAAAATGGTGAGTCATCCCCACCTCTAATTATAATTCATCTTGCATTATTTTCTCTTGTAAATGACCTCTGTTTATACACAGCTGCTGAAGTTTCAATTTGGCTATGACCCTGGAATGGACAATAGACAGGATGGCTATGGTGTGTCCTCATAAGAGCTGTTGTTATTTTCCTTTGGAGGCCCAGCAGGTGAGCATAGAGAGTGACTTTTCCTGTAATAAATATTTGAGATTTTTGTGTTTTTTGTGGAAGAAACACAACAAAAGCTAGGATGGGTAGATGTTGTGAGAAGAGAAACATTTGCTCTGTGAAAAATCCATGTCTGCAACTCACAACTATTTCATCATTAGACAAATAAAATATCCTTTCATTTTATAACCCTTTTAATTTTATTCACCTCCCTTTCTTTAAAAAAACAAACCCAAAGGGAACTAGATAGTGAAAGGAGAGGTTGAAAACACTGGTTGGC